TAAGTGTCTCTATTTCTCGTTTTACCTGCCCCTCCTTGTCACAACAGGGATCTGAATGCAGTTCAGTGAAGTGCCTAATAACCAGAGCAGTAGGTAGGAAAGGCAGGAGGCTTGACATTAAGACCCTGGCGTTTTGGAAATCCGATATGCTATTGACCCGTGTACTACTATCTCAGCGTAGAGATCTGGTGTCAGCAGATTGTAGTCTGGTGTTGGGAGCCGTTTCTTACAGGGCTCTTGTAACAGGGGCCCATTGAGTCTGGGAGGCAGCTGGGGCCTGATGGGCTAGAGCTGGGTGGTGATCGATACTCACCACCCCGCAACGGATGACCTCACTGTCATGGCTGCCGGCTGTGGACACTGCATGCTAGTCATTAGTACCGGGGCACCAATCAGGAGCTTAGTCTTGTCAATACCTGCCTCTTACAGATACTGTGGCCATCTGTCAGTGTATTGTGTAACGGCCTGAGTAAATACAGGGAGCTCTTTTGAACAATAAGAACAAGGTGTACTTTCAGTGGGAAAAAAATTGCTTCCCAGGAAGTAATTAAGAAATGACAGAAATTAATGTAGACAGAAATGGATATACGAAATTTTTTTTTATGTTTCAGATAATAATAATAATAATAACAAAAATCCAAATATTCAACCTATTTAAGTAAAATGCATTTCTATCAATGGCTCTGGCATGTGAATAGGGTCTCTCAGGTTTAAGCCAATAAGATGCACTGAATTCTTAAGACCCGTAACTGATATCCTGGCTTTGAGCCAAACTTATTTAGAAATACACTCTACAATGACTATTATGCAAAAAAAAAAAAACATGTTCACTCATTTGGTTGCAAACACATAGCAATATATGCCTTAAAATACTGAGTTACTAGTCATATTTTAATAAATTGATCATCTATTTGCCAAAACATGTGTCTTATTTCAGTGATTCACTTAATAAAATATCCAGTTTTTAAGAAATAACACCTTAGTAAAAACAACAATAAAGTATTAGATAGATCAACAAATACATTGTCACTAACCATTATTTGGTTGTCAACATTTTGAAAAGCCTACAATTTGTTAAGAAAAATATTTTTAGTTATACTGAAACCGTTTTTTTTTAATACACTATATTCAAAATTAAAAATGAATCCCTAACCTTAATTTATACATCTTTAGAGTCAGCTATTGCTTTTTGTCAATTACAATGTTGTGATCATTTGAAAATAAAACTGAAAAAAAAAAAAAAAAAAATAGATAAGGTGGCAGTTTTCAATAAAAAATTTGAATAAAAATTCAATAAAATACATTGTTCATTTGAATTACCAAAGTTTCAAAGTTTATAATAAAAATAGATTATGGTGCTTCAGAGACAGATAATATATATAGGTTGCAGGTAAAGCTGAATGTCTCAAGAAAAAAAATAGTTTTATTAATATTTTTTTTATTTCTGCGACATGGGATCTGTGCTTTCCCAAAAAAACATTTGTAAAGAAACATCTCATATTAAGTAACATGAGCTCTTTAGTCCATCATGTAGATATGCCAGATTTAGTCGCAAAGGCTAATTTTCATCTGCAAATCATGACAGGTTGGCAGATATGAAACAAAGTTGTAACGTTCCAAACAATAAAGACTTTCTAAAAATACAGCAAAGAAAAAAAAAAAAGAAACTAGAGTAATAAGGTAAGAAATGAACATGGACCATAACTTGTTTAAAAATTCTGGTCATATTTAAGACTAAAAGGCTTAAAATGAAGATGAATAAATTAAACACCGTTAAACACCTTACAGAAACCTTGAAAAAAAGAATAAAAATGAAAAGAGAGCTGGCCTCTAAAATCGATAGAACGTTCTTAATAATAAAACATTATCCTTATTTGCCCTCCTCACTCAAATCAAAAGGTTGGACATTTATGCATGAGTGACATCAACCCAGCAATTAAATTGGCCATTGAATGAGAGAAGGGCTTCCTCACCTCCTGTGTTTGTTTTTTCCCCCTCTTCTCTCTTCCTTTTTTTCCCTATTCCCCCCTCTGTTTGATGATAGGAGAGGGTGAGCTCGAATTAGGGCGATGGGTCTTCCTTTGAGTGTCAGCCTAAAATGATCAGAGTAAAGATAAGAGGGTCTAGCAGCCCTCAAATCAGTCAAAGTGCCAAAGTCGGCCTTTTTCTCCTCAATTACCGGGTCTGTGAAGCCAGGGAGTGGAAGGCGCAGAGCCTGCTGCATTACTAAAGAGACAATCTATTTCCCCTTTGACCAGAGGGAGAGAAATCATTATGGCATGATTAGTAGCTTCGGCAGTGGGCGAGCATGGAGGTACTACAGGAGAACCGTATTAATTGCCTTAGACCAAGGCACGAGCAGGATTGTTTTAACGTTGATTTGTGGACCTGTATGACTAGCTGTCGGAGATAAAAGCCCGTGTCAGGTCTTAGTTATACTGGCAGACTTCAGGCGTACAGAATGAGAGGCTTGATGTCAAAAAGAGATTCTGTAGCAGGCCTGGAAGTCTTTCTCTATATGCCTGTCGATGTCTTCCTCTTTGTCTTTCTTCACACTTCATAGTTTTCCTTTACGCCTCCCACTATCCCTCCCTTAACTCTCCTCCCCCCCACACCCCCCCTTCCCTTGCATGGACTGCACCCCACCCCTTCCCACACTCCTGTTCTCTCCCTCCTCCAACTGATAGCTGCCTTGGCCGATTATTTCATCCAGTGCAGTCCACTGAGAGCTTCCTCTCCCGGCTTTGGAAGAGCTTTAATTAGCCATGTTAATATCCCCTTCATTGGCCTTAATATCACTCAACACCTTCCTCCATCTCGGCGGCCACCAGGGTCCCCCTGTCCTGTCAGAACAGCTGATTATTGAGAAGGATAGCTTTAATCAAACCTAATTGCAGTTCATTCTTTCCCTCTATCCCCCTTTGCCCTCCATTGCCAACATCTAATGGCAGCGACGACTTGATATCCCATTAAAAAACAATTAAACAACCTCCTTTTGTCTCTGTGCGTGCCAAAACACCAGCACAAACTTCTGTAGATATTTAAGAAGTACAGGAGAGAGAGGGGCCTTGTCTTAATTGCTCTCCTTTTCACCAAGGACCAATTTGCAGAGTACTCATGGAGAATCCTAACCAACTCAAATGTAATGAATGCTATAGCAGTTTGGACAATATAAATGAAGCCTCTTTTTAAGAGGAGAAGTTGTACTTAATTGCCTTCATAAGATTAAACATAAAGAAGCTGCTTTATTACTGTGTGGACATTAACTTTTTGTTTGCAGAAATTGCATGAAAAGGTATTGAAATATACAAGGAAAAGACAATGCAAAGTCTTTTTATGAAGTGAATACCTGAAAAATATGTTCTGTCTCAAGCTCTGACATAAATTGTCTCTCAATAGGTGATGTACACACACACACAAACACACACACATTCAAATACATGCATGCTCTATGAGGGGCGACAGACAAATAAAAGTCGTATTTCAGGTCTGCTTTCCGCAGATGTCTGCTGCTCTACATTATGACTCTTCTGGGAAATAAAAACAGGGTCAGGGAATTAGAGTACATAATGGTCATTTTGATGATCAGCCAACAGATGCAACCCGAAAAACACAGAGAACACAATCAAGTGAAACGCACTAATGACAAGTTAGGGTGTCTTTTTTTTTTTTTTTTTTTACAGCCTTGCCACACACCGACAGGCAATCAGCATTCTGGCATGGTTTAAAACATCTTTTATTGATGTTGAAGCCAAAGCTCCTTGGATGTGGAGGGAAAATATTTTCTCACCTCTGCTCTCCCTCCTGGGTCCACATTGGAGCACAAAAGTATAGGAGTCTATCGAAGAACACTTCTAAATGACCAGTGCATGTGTTAATGCGGCCAGGGTTAGAAGGGTCATTTCAGAGTCTGATTTATAGCCTGGCTGGAATCCCACTGGGTGAACGCAAAGTCTTAAGTGTTGTGAAAGCGTCCTCACAGGCCACACAAGCCACTGAATTTAGTTGAATGAAATGGCCGTGCAATCTATGGTGCAATCTATGGTAATCCAGTAAGACACAATGATTCTACAGACAAGTCATTTTTACAAAGGCAACCAGCATTGTATATAGTAATAACTGTGCAATGTGATGAAAAATAAATATGGCTGTGCTGTATTTTCTAATTGGAGCAACCAAAGGCACAATCAGTCAGGATCTGTGGTCGATTTCATTGTTTATTCTATGTGTAGAGTTCTTGCACAATGGGTTACAACTGAGATCATTTCTTGCACAAGTTTTCTCCAGTAAAATTTCAATCTTTAAGTATCTTGCATCGGGGAGGCCACATCTGAATAAGCACAGCTCTATATTTGCCCCCTTATCAATACGTCCAGAAAAAGAAGAGGGAAGCTGATGCAAGCTAAACCGGGCCCAGATCTCACTCAGACGTGACATTTGTTCAGACGCGATTAGCCAGGTTGTAATTTGTGGCATAATTGCCTCACCCACCCACAAGTACATGGGTGTGTGTATGCATTAGGTGTGTGCGCCTGTGTGTGTGGCATTTTGCGGTCCCAGGAGTGTCCGCCTAATTGCCTGACAGGACTATAAGTTTTGTGGCGCGCTCTCACCTTGTTAGGTCCTTTATCCCTGATGCTCTTCAAACAAGACCTGGTCACAGGTGGGCCTCATTTGCTTCCCTATTGAACAGGAGAACTTTAATTGCACAGGGGGTGTCCTGGGATTAAAGAGGTGGGTGGAATATCAAGTGACTTCCTGTATGTTAGTGGCAGATGGGTGTTGGGGTAGACCTGTGAACTCAGGTGAGATCACAAAGAAGCTGAAGCTCTTGAGTTAGAAAATAAAATAACATAAAAATGCTGTGGATGAATGAATGGATGCAGCCAGGAGTGTTTGGAGAGTTTCATTAAATAAGTAGTGTTTTTATTTTCTTTAAAGTATTTCACCTTTGTGAAGATAAGTCATCGTTTTTGCTTCTCTCTGTTCCTCTCTTTCAGATTCTTCCTAAAGTTCTTTCTCAAGTGCAATCAGAACTGTCTGAAAAATGCAGGGAATCCACGAGACATGCGCAGATTCCAGGTGACTGAAACCTATTTCACACATATGTTCTATTTCTGTCACTGTCTTTCACTGTCTGTCTCCCTTTTTCAGACACACACACACGCACAGGTGTAGAAATGTGCAGCTACAGCTGCTACTCTGCACTAACTCACCCTGACACAGATTCACATATGAACACATTCTTATTACTGGCACTGGAGAAAGCAGAAAAAAAAAACAGAGGAAGAAAGAGTGAGGGATTTTGTGTCATGCGTGCCCTGGACAGAATATTTATTAGGGAATACCATCTGACACAAATAAGGATATAGGATTTAAGAGTGCCATCAATTGTGTTCCTGACAGCTTTCTGAGCCCCAGTGTATAGGGGAGAAGATCCAACCACATGTAACAACAGTGTTAACTCAGGATCTGTCTGGCAGAGGAAATGCATACCTTCTTGTGCACTCATATGCACGGGCACGAACACATATGGATGCATGCACATAAACGGAGCGCATGTGTTTGCTTTTTTTGTGTCCATTTCTACTTCTAAGGCCCATGTACACATGCTTAATGCCAGTCATGCAGCTCTAAGAATGGGAAAAGCAGGCTCTGAAAAAACGTGAACACATGAACAGAGTGATTTTAGTGCTTCTTTTCCCACAAACTTCTGATCTGTCAGAGAAGTAAAGACTAACAGCGATTGACCTCTCCTGATCCATTTATCCAACCATTCATCCATCCTACTGAGACATTTTCAACACAAACAGCCCACTAGGTCAAGGTGAGACAGCAAGAGTAAGTGTGATTTGTTCTATCACGGTAACTACAAACTACAGGAGAGCGTCCGTCACTGGCAGCACTATGCAGTGATAGACATATGAGGCGGCATCCTCCAGGAGGAAGCCCAGACGTGAAACAGACAAGACAGGGTGTCCCCTCCTGATGTCACGGCCATCAAACCTCCCCTGCCTCCTCAAATCTTCCCTCAGGGTGAATGTGGACTGATGCGTGACAGCCACCATGGGTTTTTACCCCTCACGATATAGTGGCTGGAAGAAATGCAAAAACCAACTTTCATTTTTTCGAGGTTCTGAAACAAAAGGATATATTTTTTTTATTTTAAAAGATGATGATCGTAACAGTTAGGATGCCATTACCCCCCTAATGGATTTCCCAGATGTTTCTGCATAGGTATTTCTCTGGCCAAAGTTGTGTATTTTACATGCCTTAGACTCTACTTATTACCCCCCAAAACCAGCTGGAGGCCAGAAAGGGCCCAATCCATCATCCTCTGCTTGGCCCAGCTCTGAACCTGCTCACAAGAATGGAGCTCTTTCACTTCCCCTTCTCCCTCTACTCCCGTTTACACCCCCACCTTTCCCAAACCAACCAAAAAAAGGACCCCCCCTAAATTCCAGCACCACGCCGAGGTCACTTACCGGCGAAGCAAACCTGAGAGGGGCTCTCTCTTTCCGGCTCAGAAAACACTTCAGCCATTCACAGGCAGGCCTGCTTGTTTGGAATGCGGTGGCCAAAAAACAACAACAAAAATAAGCGTTATAAAATATGGAGTGTGGTTTGGAATATGATACTGGTAAAATGTTTGCTGAGCGATGGGGATGGCGTACGGCCTGGATGTTAATGACTCCGGTAATATTTTAAAAGGAACGGCCTTCCATGCTCAGGGTTGGTGGGATACTGATCAATATTTTTGAGTGTCAGTCACGATGGGAGTTACTGGAGTGGATAAATGGAAATGGTATTCAAGCAATTAAATAGTCAATTTAGAAAAATGCAAAACATAAAAAAACAGAAATGAAGAAGATTGCAATGTGATATTATTCGAAAGGGGCAATCACTCCAACAGGTGTAACAACAGTTAGAAAGGTATGCTCCTGACCAGGAAGAAATTCATTTTCCTTCAGTTTTTTTACTCATTTTTTTAAAATTAGAACTACAAACTTCATGAAATTCATTCTAATATCATAAAATACACCAAAACAAGTTAGAAAATAATGAAGTAGAGGAAGAATAATATAGACATGTTTAGCATGCATCTTTTTTGGTTGAATCAATAACACGGTGTTAGTGTGTATGTTTCTATCAGATCTCTCAAAACAAAATTTTTTTTGCAGAAAAACTAAGACTTAAAATAAAAATAAAAAATGTTCTTAATTTGTTAAAGGCAGTCACTCTAGGACTTTGTGAAATCTGAATAATGCAGTCATACATTCTTCATGCAACTGTATGTTTGAGGTTGCTGTCCCTCTGGAAGGTGATACCCCTTCCCTGGTTTTGCATGTTTTGCAGCCTCCAGCTGTTTGTTTTTCTTCCAGGATGGCCCTACTTTAAGCTCCCTTCATACCAATTGACTATGTCCCACAGCATGATGCTGCCATAAACACGTTTCACCCTCAGGATGCTGTGTTCAGGGCTATGTGGAGTTTCCAGATAAAAAATGAAATATCTTGTTTTTGCTACTGTACAATTATGAATTGTTTTGTAGCAGTCCATTAAAAAGTACTCCATTAAAGTCTGTGGCTATAATGTGATCAAATGAGAAAAGGTGCTGTGTGTATTTATATTTTCAAGCTATACAATGATGTATGCAATATAGATTTCACTGTTTGAATCTGTTGCCTGTATCTGCTACATCACATCTTCTTTCTGCTTCCCTTGCAGGTTGTCGTATCGACGACCGTCAACGTGGACGGCCATGTGTTGGCCGTTTCTGACAACATGTTTGTGCACAACAATTCCAAGCATGGGCGAAGGGCTCGCAGACTCGACCCTTCAGAAGGTACGCCTCCTTATCTGGAAAATGGTAGGCACATTTTTACATCTTATAATTTGCTACGCTCATTTTTTTTTCTATTAGTTTCTTCTTTTTTATTTTTTACTTCAGTTTTTATATCACACACCCATAGCTCCTTATTCTTCCTTTAGAATCAATAGACTCTCAATCATCTCATTTTTTTTCTTTTCTTTTTTTACTTTTGAAGTTGCTTCTCGCTTCCATCCCACCTTGTGTGATGTGGTGCCTGGAAATACTATGCAATATGCAGAGTGTTTATCATTTAAATACTGCAAGTGACAACCAATAAAGAAAAAAAAATGTTATGCTACCAATTCCGTAATGCACCTACATTTGTCCTAAAAGCCACTTTGAAGCATGATCAAATTGCTGAAGAATTTGGCTATGAGGTCAATTTCCTGCCATTGGGGTTCTGTAGATTTAGCTGAGTGAGAGTTGAAACAGGGAGAGAAAAGAAAAGACAGAGGGCGGGGGCGGGGAGGGGGGCGTTTGCAGCTGATACTGAATGTGTGTGCGTGGGTGCATGGAGGAGTGGGGTGGCCTATGCGAAAAACAGAACTTACTGTTTTTCCTCCAACTGATTCCATATGATAGACTGATTGCCTTCTCAGCCAAAAGAGAGAAAAGTGGGACCACCAAACCATGGGAAATCCAAAAAGTTAAATGCACCAAGTGTAACCTTTCAACCCTTGTGGCCCTCACTTATGGATAGAAGCAAAACGTGCAGCTGAAATGCTGTAAAAAAGAGAAGAGAAAGCTGACTTAGACATTCCTGCAATTGCTTATATTGAAAATTCAAGAGCCAATTATGGCTAGGCAAACAGTTTATATATATGCCACAGACTAAAACAAGCTTCTCTACACATTAATGGGCATTAATGCCTCTGTGACCAAAAGCAAATGTAATGTTTAATACAACAACGACAAATACAGAAAAAAAAAAAAGAAAAAACATAGACAATTAATATATCTCGATGCTCTCTAGTCCTAGTGGGGGAAAAAGCTAATCTATTTGTTTTTGTCTTTATTAATGACTCCTCTACTGGAGAACAAAATCAAATAATTAAAGTCCTGCCCGGAGCACCAAAGTCATTATGTTCACTGACGTTCTGTTTGTGTGTTTCACGTTTATGACACGATAGGTGTGGATCGCCTAGCAACCAGTTTCTTAATGAGGAGAGCAATTAAAGAGGTTGAGCCCTTGCCTCCGTGTTCCCCCGCTCCCATGAGACCCTCTGTGTGTTATGTGTGTGTGTTTGTGCGTGTATGGGTTCTTTACAGGTTACCCCAACCCATCCTTTTATTCTCCTCTTCACTGCACTCTTCAAAGCAGCAGAGTGACGCCCCGTAAAGCACGAAAAGAAGCAATTGTCAACCGCCCAGTTGAACATGTCTTTGTCTAATAACTTTAATACACCTTCCCTCTTCTTTAGAAGTTGAGATGTGTTTTTTTTTCCTCCCAGGCTCAGCTCTGCAACAAACTAATTTATTATGCATCAACAGCGATGGCTCACTTTGTTTGAGTCACCTTTAACAAACAGAGATGTGGCACAGGAGGAAAAAAAATGAGAGGCGGTTTTATAAAACGGAACTCCAGCCTTTTTCTCCGTAGCTGCTCTGACAACTTGGAGGCAAACAGACAGACAGCGTGCTTTAAATTAGCAACACATTCTTCCTCTGGAGTTCACAGGGCGAGAGGCTTTCAGCTTTTGTGGCTGTCTGACTGGCTCAAGCAGGGATGCATCATTTCAATCTGCAGCTCAGGCTCAAGAAGTGCTGCCCCCTATTGGTGCCGGGAGGGGAAAGCACCTAGATGACAGACTGAATCTTGCCATGTGACATTTTTGTTCACTTGTGTGCTCTGTCACACAACAAGCATATTATGCATTCAGACATGAATGTGCTTTGAGGCCTGCTGTCACTCAAACATGTATGGATTCAGGCTCAAAGGTGCATAAACATGCTCACAAATAGCTGAGTCTCTCACACACAACAACCCCCCCCCCCACGACACACACACAAAAATACAGAAACGCTCTCACTCACTCACCCACACACAAATACAGACATATACTCATGCACACACGTTCCTTAGCTCGGTTTCACCATTATAGAGCCCCAGACAATATAGGAGACTTAGCATAGGGCCTGCAGCTCCTGACTCATTTGCATGCCAAGTGGCTGTAATGCTGTTAGGGTTTATGCAATAAAGACAAGCGAATCCAGACCGCCGGGTCTAAGAGGTAAAAAAAAAAAGAAGAAGAAGAAGGGAAGAAGGGGATAGAGGAAAAAGAAATAAGAGAAGGAGAGAGACAGAGGGTGAGACAGCAAGAAAGAGAGACAGAAGAGAGAGTCAAAGGGAACAGATGGCCCAGGGAGAGGTAAAAGGTATAATCCCATCAGCTGCACTATCAACCGACCATCTGGACATCCCACAGCACAATTACAACACATTTCAGCAGGCAGAACAAAGGACGGCTTCACAGGGCCACATCAGACCTGTTTGAGTGTCACTATACCAGAGCCAGAAGCTCCTCCACTCAGATCTTGTATCGGTTTTGACGTCCTCCGTGGCTAACGCTAAACTGAGAAAGAAAAAGATGAAAAGCAGGTTAAAAAGTTGCAGCATGTTGTCATTTTTAAGCATAAAATAACCTGCTGTGTGGTTAAGTAGAGGACTGTCTTGAAATTTGTAGTTTTAAGCCCAAAGTTTGTAAAAAACAAACAAACCCAAAGACTCAGTGACCCATCAGATAGGCTCACTGCGTCCTCCTCTGTCCATTTTGACTGATGTCTATCAAGGGGTGGCGGGTGGGTGCGTTGGGGGGGGCTGTGCGTGTCTGTCATCACATCGGCTGTGCTGACTGTGTAATCCACTTTGCCACGGTCCCCATTCAGCACATGCTCCCCGCTCTGACTGTGCATTGAGACATATGCAAATTTTCAGGCAGAAGGGTGGACGGCTTAGAGCCTCAGTCGCTGCCTCGCCATGGGTCCTCCTGCGTGTAGGAGTGGGTTTTGGGGGGCAGGAGGTGGTTAGCCATTGCTGGGATTTCCAAGGTGGTGTGTGTCTACGTTCGTGTCTGTGTGTGTGCGTGACTAAGCGCAGAACGTCGTAGGTTTTAGGCAGCAGCTGCCCCCCCTGAAAAGTCACCGTCACCATCAGGCACTCTTTTTGCCCCCCCTTCTCCCTCCTCTCCTCCTTTCGTTCTCTCTCATCCCCAAAGTCAATTTGTTTACAGTAATTTTGAAGGGTGAATTATTTGCTGTAATCGTCCGCACTGATGAAGGTCAGGCCCTTAGAGGGGGCCCCGGCATGCCCATGGAGGGTTGGTCCTCTTTCAGACGCTCTGCTTCGCAATTAAGGAAAGCAAATGTCACTCCTCCAGGCCTCACAAATGAAAATCTGTACGAGGTGATTAGCATGAAGTCAACAGCGCCTGTTAAAGTCAGATTCCCTGTAGTACCAATGTGTGTGTGCGCACGTTATGGGCAGGGAGGGAGAGCAAACATGACCTGAACAGACCCAACAGCAAGGCAAACAAAGGGAGATGTCTTGTCTGAGGTGATCCATACAACAATGGCTGACTGTGATTTACTTACTGGATGGAAGGGATAAAGGAGGTTTAGAAGTGAGCTTGCAGAAGGAGCAAAGAAGGAAAGAAAAACAAAAAAAATTGAGGGAGAACTTGCAGGAATAGTTGCACGCATCTGAGCAGCAGGAAAAACATGCACATTTCACATTGTATTATAAGATATTGATGAAAATAGATTAAATTTGATATTGCTATTTTATGGCAAGCTGTCATGCTATTTCTGTTGTAAACACAGTGTTTTGCCGAACGCCATATTAAGGCAATGCATCAAGTGACAGTGAAAGTGAGGCATAAGATCACTCAAATTAGATTATAATAACAACTCCCACTGTTGATGAATGGCAGAGCCTCACAGCAGAAGTCATGCCAGATGAAAAGCATTGTAATAAACAATATGAAATGGATTGAATCGATCACAAAAAGAAAGCAAAAAAAAACTCATTCTGAATAATTCATGAGCGCATTCCACGTTATGAAACCTGAACCTATCCTTAGTGTGCCTTCACTGTATCGTAGAACAAAGGTAATGAAATAACATGAAGCAGCAAAGCTTTAGCTTGTCATTTCCACGTCTTGACTCATTTAAGATGTGTTCAGCTTTAAAATTTTACTGTACATGTCCGTGCATGCTTAATCAATTCTGATAGCTACATTTGCCCTGACACATAATTTGCTCCATCAAATAATTTTCCTGGTGAGCCTGGGCGTTTAGCCTTTGTGAAGTGGACCATTTGAAGGGTCTGCTTAACTAAACCACTCCACCAGGCTGATAAATGATTTTGATTCTCATGCCTTAAAGGACAAATCCATCATTTTTTTTTTTTTTTTTTTTCTGGAGGCAATTTCCATGATATGTCTTTGTGGGAGAGACATGCTGGGCTTAAGGTGGAGGTGATTCAGTAACGTGTCTGATTGAAAAGAGACATGTGCTGGAGTGTCAAAGCCTATGTGCTGAATTTGCTCTTCTCTTTGTCTTGGATAAGCAGCCACCCCATGCATCAAGGCTATCAGCCCCAGTGAGGGATGGACCACCGGAGGAGCCACCGTCATCATCATCGGTGACAACTTTTTCGATGGTCTACAAGTCGTGTTCGGCACCATGCTCGTATGGAGTGAGGTATGATATAACATTTCCTTATAGAAAAGTTGTTAAAAGGGTTTAGAATTTCAGGACTGAGTTTCTGTTCAAAGGGTTATAAGTAGATATCTTGGTTTTTTTTAATTAGTATTACATCCATCGTAGTTATCCCATAAACCTGACAGATGGTAAATATTTATAAGAATAACAGAAATAGCAGTTTTTATGCTTTCAAAGAATCTCTGATGAGAAACTAACATGTATTTCAAACAGAAATATCATTCAAACCTTTGTATAAAATAAACACTAAATGCAACTGTGGTGATTTAAAGCTTATTCGAACAGGGTTTGCATGAATAAATTAGAGCTGATTTAAGACTGATGACCAGCAGTTAGTGTCAGCTTCCAGAATCAGGACTTTTTCCCACACTAGATTTTTTACTTTTTGCATTGAACATAAAATTTCTGACATATTCTTTTTCACAGCAACTTATAATTTTTTTTCTCCCCCTCTGCAATCCAGCTGATAACTCCCCACGCCATCCGTGTTCAGACTCCCCCTCGGCACATCCCCGGCGTTGTGGAAGTCACGCTGTCCTACAAGTCCAAGCAGTTCTGCAAAGGTGCCCCTGGGAGATTTGTCTACACTGGTGAGTCACAACCTTCTCTTCCTGTCTTTCTTTGTCTTTTTACAATCGATTTGACTATAGACTCCAACTCATAAAAAAAACGCACCCAACAAGAACTTGTGACTGACTTTTTTCCAAAGCCTAACCAAAGATGTTTATGGTTGATGTGGATAATTACAATACAAAATGATAAAAAAAGATACATTAAGGATTTTTCTTCATGCTTGTCTGCCATGAACAGCTGAAATTTGTTTCAAGAGAAAATTTAAACATCACACCATGCAGGTGAGGGAGCAGTCAATATAAACAAGGTTTTCCTATTATTTCCAAAGACAAAAGAATCACAGATTTGTTAACAATTACACGATTTTCAATTCAAGAATAGAATTGCAGACATCTGTCAGCATCTTATCCAAAATATAGATTCTTAGATCTCTTCACCGCCTCTGAATTCATTATAAAACACCTCACTGATACCATCAACAACTGACTTTGAGCCTTTTCTGATTGAAATATAGTAAACAGCTAATTTTTCTATGCTTTTTCTAAAATGATTTGGTTCGCTGAATGTGAAGTATGTAAGATCTGGTCAGGTACCATGCTTTATTAAAACCAAGCCATCAAGAGAAATCTTTCTCCTAATCGTTTATATCTGCCATTTAACAGATTAGGTCTGAGCTTAAATTGCTTAATTTATAAGTCAAATGCGTTTTCACTTTTTTATGAATCAAATAATAACGTCTATAACTAGCTTAAGTGAATGATCGTGTCTGAAGTTATTCTCATGTGTGATCGGCATGAATTTGTAAGAGAAAGTGTGGGAAGAGAGGGTGAGAGAAAGCGGGAGCACGTGTGTCACACTATGAGTAAGAGATCTGATTATCTGGCCTAACAGAAGGAAGTGGTGGTCTTATCTGTCATCATTGGTGAGTAGACAGAGGTTGTGAGGGTCAGAGCCTGTCTGACCTGGAAGCCTCTGTCTGTTCCAACTCTAGTGTGGAGAATGAAATCCCCCCCTCCCTTCCAGCTCAAGTGAAGCTCTGGCCTTGAGCACAGCAAGGCCAAATTTTAGCTCCGCCAGCCCCCCCAAAAAATATCCCAATCCAGACCCTTCAATCCTGGAGCAGCTGTTTCTCATCAAGTCCCCCTTGCTCTGATTCCCCAGAACTACCACCCCTCCCCAGAAACAGCCATTGGTCCCCTTTTTCCTCCAACCGTGCAGTCTGGCCCAGCTCTCCTGCGTTTAACCTCCCTAGCAGGAGCGGAGCAGAGGCCAACAAGGCACCGGGATAATGAAACAGGAGTGCAGTGTGACTGCGTAAGTGTATGTGTGTGTCTGAAAGTGAATGAAAGTGGGGGAGAAAGTGTGAGTGCAAAGGAGTCTCTATGTGTGTGTGTTACTAAACAGCCCCAAGAAGGTGTATAAGTTAAGACATTAATGGCTTCTATAGCACCATAGTGAAAGTGCCAGGTCCCTTAAGAACAGACCCCATTAGTCACAGAGGCTAAGCGGATTGGGATGATTACCATCAGGTTTTACTGGAGAAATGTGTCCCCTTCCTTCTATCTTTGTTGATTTTTCTCCCCCCCCCCATTCTTCCACTCCGTTTTTCCCATCTCATTCTCACTTCTAGTTAGTATTAAGATACAATTACCCCTGGAGGCAACGGTGGTGCAATTGATTAGTGTGGTGAATTAAAAGAGAAAGTCACCAACTGACAGGTCCGACTCCTTTGCTTCCATGCTCCAGCCATGGCTCGCTGTGATTGCGCGATGGGGGTGAAGCTTACGAGAATTAAACCGCTAAAGGCAGCCAATGCCTGAATTAGGTGTCGCTGATTCCATATGTAGAGTAATTGCGAGGGAAAAAGGATGTTAGCTACTTCTCTTGGAGATTAAAAAGCAAATTGACTGCAGGGAGAGTGGATTCTGTCTTTAAAAATGAAACAGCTCATTTTAAGACCACAGTTTTTCCTTTTTCTTGCGCAGCACTTGAACACATGGCCTACACACAGAAAAAGATTGGAACTACACGAGCAGAAAAGGGCATGCAGTGACACAGTGCTGTCAAATACGCACAAAACCTTACCGCAGAGCAACCCATGCATATCAGAGTTATCAAAGCCTTCGACCTCAGAATGCAACCTGAGGAGTGGGGGATCATTTTTTGTTCCGTCATGTTGACTGCTCACTTCCCACCGCCCTAATTGTGGAGATTTAGCTCGGTCAATTTAAGAAATTATCACAAATTACCAAGAGTCAACACAGAGGAGACTGCAGTCGATTTGAACAGCAAAGGGACACGTCCTCAGTCAGGTTAGCACCCTGGATCAGCTCCAAAACTCACAATCCATTCTCAGAAAGAGAGTATCCTGTAGCGTATGTCAAATAATCCTGTCTGCATTGACTATTGAATGCTTAAAGCACTAATGAGACAAACAGACAGACCATATAAAACGTAACTAAGCTGTAGCTGAGTGCTTCAAGGAGCCTATTTATGTTCTTTAATTGACACTTTTTTAAAGGAACGAGAAGCTATTTTTGTTTGTTTGCAGCTCTTTAAAAGAGCCTTGTCCCTTGGAGCTTACATGCTTGTCCTCTGTCTAATCCATGTATTGGTTATCTATTGGTCAGGACAGGAGTGGTAGAACCAGCTGTCAGCAAGGTTGTTGAAAAATCAAAAGGAGAAAGTCACGGCTGCACCTCAGTCAATATTTTACTTTACTTTACACTTCATAAGGTACTTAAAACAGAAACAAAATTGGTTTAGTCAAATATCATAAAATAAAAGAAAAGCTCAGATTTGTTGCCTCCTTACCTTTTTTTTAGCTTATAAAGATGTGCGAAAGAGTGAATCATAAATAAATATCTGACTGTAAAATCCTTCCAATTTAAACTCCTAATTGCATCAGAGCCTTTGTTTTTGTTTTGTTTTTTTTATCTCGGCCAAGTTTCCATGAAGAACTCCCCTTCAGGGGCAGCAATGCAGGCCTGTGGTAATATGGTTCTGCGAGCAGTCCTAACACACTCAGCCGCTATTTATCCTAATCAGTGACATCCACATAACCAGGATTGCTTAAAATGAACCCCTTCCGCGCCCCAGAAAACGCACATTTACCGGGACCCCATTTGTCATGGGTAAATTGAGGGTCAGTAAACTTCGCCTGTATCCTCCAGTGGGGATCCAGGACATGCATCATAACGTTAGGAGAGAATGATTGGCGAAGGCGAGCTGTCACATATTTGTCAGGGGGAAGGGAACATTATTTGCTAATTTCCCAAGCTAGGCACTGACAGGGTGCTTCGTCTTCAGACCTTTGGTGACCAGCATGGCTTCCCAGCTATTAGTACAAGTCAAGTGTTTTTCTTTTTTTTTTCCTCCTCCCACTGTAAAGCGGCAGTAATAAGAGCCATTCGTCCGACCTCACAAGACTGTAGCACACTGGGTGAAGGATTTGGGATGAAGCAGATGCCCCCCATACAGAGAGTTGCTCTTGCCAGGCCTTAGTTGTGGCCAGACAGCCTTGAGGGCTGATGGATAACAAAGTTTCCTTGTCAAGGTGACGCTATCGACTCCACTGCACCAAAATCTGACAAAATGGGTATGAGGCAGCCATTCATCAACATAAGGACAAAGGGGTCATGTGTGCTTCACTCAATACGGGTGGAGATCAAGAAATGTCAACCCTGCGAGGGAGTAAAAAGGAAGAGGTAGATAGTGCAGAAGTGGGATCTCTATCTAGATAAAATGTCTTGACAAAGTGTTCATACCACTTCAATTTGTCACTTTGTCAATTGTCACTTTGCAACCTAAACATTCCAAGTATTTATTAGGGATTTTATGTGATACAGCAATATAAAATAGTAAAAAATGGAAAGGTAGGGAATTTACTTTATAAAATGAGTTCTAAAAGTAAAAAGACTATTACAAACCTATCAAGATGTGGCATTCTGGCTAAACTAATAGGCCATGCAAATAAAGTTTTTCATTATGGCAGTAAAGACAAATATTGTGTCTTTGGTAGAGATGGAAAACTAAAAGCGTAGTGGGAGAATCTAGGTATAAATGAAATATCAGCCAAGTGCTCCCAAAATCTTGTCTTTATGGAAATATAAAACATTTTGACACATGCACACTAACTAGAAAACAGCAATGAAAGGGAGGCCTTGTAAAGTTCAAGAGAAGATGAGCTCAGAATTGTCCTTGGCTAGACGCATTGGTTGCTGCAACACTGGAGACCAGGTTGGAGGTTCACTTTTCATCAGGACAACTCTAAAAGCAAAACAAAAGCTATGATGGACTAGTTTAGAGCACAGTGTATACATCTGTACAATTGCCTAGTCAAAGTCAAGACAAAAACATGCATTTCGTTTAATGTGCCTTAACTGTTTTGCAAGGAATAAGGAAATACTGAGGACTCTAGATGTGCAAAGGTGGTAGAAAAATATCCTCAAAGGAGTTTGGTTTCCATAGTAAACAGTGTATATTTTCTTTGGCAAGGCACCTGAACTTCAGCCTTATGTCTTAAATGTACTAATGCAAAAACACATACTTATGCTTGGGAATTCCCTGCATTTTAGCGAACAGGCCTTTTTTGTCGAGGCTATAAATAGTACTATCCAAAAAATCAAACACTTCCTGTTCCTGTCGTGGAAAGTGTAAAAAAAATGTAGCGCGGTTCTAGACCCTCCTCTCTTCTAAAAAAAATAAATAGATAAATAAACAACTACAGACATCTTTATCGGTGCACATCAGATAGGCCCCTGTTCTGTCCAGCTGGTGAATTGAGCCTATCCTCTCCGCCCTGCCGTCACTTTGAAGTCCTAGACTTACAAGCTGATTAGATGGAGAGCTTCCTTTTCATTTCCTGTCCTGCAGGGCTGGGTTTGGTACTTCACTAGCGACTGGTCAGTGATGGGGTGTGGCCTACTGAAAGATATGTTATAATCAAAGGCATTCAAGGAGGTATGTAAACAGATCAACTTCTGAAGAGGAAGTACAAATACACACTAAATAGTTC